TGTGGTCCCTAACTAGACAATTACAGAAAGGCATTGGAGGGCTCAGAATCAGGTGAATCGGTATTGATCACAAGAATGTAATAGTCATATTGGACTTGAAACGTTAACTGTTTCTCTCTCCACAAATGCTGCTGAGTTTCTCCAGCATTGTGTTTGCTTCAGACTTCCAGCATCTGCAGTATTTTGCTTTTATTCTCAACATCTACCCTGTCAAGCCTCCTCAGAATCTGGCATGCTTCAATAAGATCACCTCTCACTCCCGTTTTTTCACCCCTGGCAATAAAGGCCAAAATCCCATTTGCCATCTTAAGCACTTGCTGACTTCACTACTAAACTGTTGTAATAGTTGCTTGTTAGACTAGATGTAGGGAAGGTGTTGCTGCTGGGTCGGGAGTTGGGAACCAGAGGTCACAGTCTGAGGATAAGTTGTAGTCATTTAGACTGAGATGAGGAAAGATTTTTTCAATGACCAAGTTCATGAAAAAGATTGATAACGTTTTAGATTTTAAAAGGCATCAAGGGGTACAGGGAGAAAGCTGGAATTGAGAGAGAGGATGAGCCATGATCATATTGAATGGTAAAGCAGGCTTAAAGGGCTAAATGGCTTACTCCCTGTGTCGTTTCTATAGTAACAGCACAGTGCTCAGCATTATTTGTGCATCAACAGTACAGCTACTTCATGCAAGTGGCAATCACAAGGTTAAGTATCCTAAAAATGTTCACATTGTGCTGCTCTGCCATTAATTTCACAGAGGAAAAAAGACTTCTCCTGTCTGATACACCATGAATGGCAAGAACTAGCTGCTCCATACGGCAAATATGAACTAAACTTGCCACAATACATCAGCCTTGACTTTTCAAGTCTAAATACCCTTACATCAAAATATGTAAAAACCTAAATGTGCAGAAGTATACCCATTCACTGGCACTCACTGTTGATACCCAGCTGCTGAAAATCTGTATCAAGAAAGTATTCAATTGCCCAGCAGCTGCCAGAGGCATCAGTTTACAGATTTGCTCTGCTCTGAAATATTAAAATCTTTGCTAAGTAATGAAAACAATATTTGAAGAACCAAACACATTCTGGTTTCTTCCCCACTGCACTGAATGGGTATGCAACTCCATAACTAAATCAGATTAAATTATTGAACAATTAAAAGCATAAAAACTGAGAAGTAAGTGTAATTTAAATGTATCATTTCAATGCCAAATCAGATACAGAATGAGAAGAGAATGATTTGATTCAGAGAGGGGAACAGAGACAAAGTTTTAAAAAAAGTTTAACTATAAATTTGATGCTTTCAGAGTCTCCAACCATTAACACCTGAAGAACTGATATCTGTTCACTTGCAATACCAGTAAGGTTGTCGGTCAGCAACAAACATCTATCATACTATTTAATGAACACTTAAAATGGACAAGTTTTAATCTGTTTTAATCTGGAGCAAGTTGAGTTTGTGTCTATAGCTCAAATACAGCAACTTCATGACACTCAATGAATTTGAATGGCGTAGTTTGGGAGTTGCCGATTTCAAGGCCAGGCCAGAGATGTGTATCTCGGATTGTGTTTAACCACATGCTTGCCCCTCACCTAAAGGTTGCTTTAAAATTTATACATAAATAGCCACAACTAATCCCACCAGTATTTGGAGAGCACTATCTTGCCCTTGTGTGCAGCCAACCACACTGCTCAGGCTCGTCTCGAGAGAGAAATGATTCCGTCGGGCGGGACAGGGCAGAACACGGAGCTGTAACTGTAGCTTCAGAACTAAACTCATCAGGATGATGTCAGAAGCTACTTCTTCAAACAAAATGTTGTGGAGATTTGGAACAGTCTTCTCCAAAAAAAAAACTACCAAAGCCAGGTCAATTGAAAACATCAAAGCCTAAATGGATTGATTGTTAGGTGGGTATTAAGGTTTACAAAAGCAAGTAGAGTAAATGAAGTTAATAAAAGCAATGATATATTGGTCAGCAATGACCTAACTGAATGGCAGGACAGCCTTGAGAGACTCTGAACGGCTAACTCCAGTATCTATGTTGGCTCAAGTGGATCAGTTTCAAAGATCACTGGTGGAGAATGGTACTTGTCGTGGGGAAAGTCAAAAGGGAAGGATGGAAGAAGTTCTTTTTTTTAAAAAAAGAAAGTTTATCCTTTCAGTTAAAGTGGAATTTTCAGCTGCTTGGTGGGATACCACATGTCTGTAGAGGTAGCCAACAGAATGGTAAGAAATTGGCTCATGTCCACTTGTCCTTTCACAATTACATTTGTGATTTCAGCCTGGATACGAGAATGCAGTTGCCAAAAAAGAGTCAGAGTTCTTATTATGCAGTCAAAAGATTAAAATGAGCTATCCCTAACCACTCTACAAATGTCATGTGCTGTTGCCTGTGAATTTCTCCTACCTAAGTTAAACTACAGCACTTGGGAGAGCATTGGGTGCTGAAGGTGCACTATTTCCATCACTTTATTTCAACTGGATTAAAAATTAACACAAGGTAGGATCTCAGAATTTCACTCTACATGGAAAAGATACATTTTTATAAGCAAATATATTTTCCATCATCTCCTAGTTGATATAGAAGTTGAAATGCGTATTTTAGACATCCAAGCAACAAATACAACTAGTTAGTTTTCCAACAAAGCAATGTCAAATTTTAAGTCAGTAGAAAATAAACATTTGTTTAGCTCAATCTGTTAAATAAGGCACTTGAAATATCCTTCTATCAAAATGGGGAATAAGCAGTCATTTAAACCGAAAAATAATACCCAATACATGTCTTGACAAGTTTGTGTTTGTTAAAGCTTCTAATTTTGATTCAAGTGTGGATTATAACTTTAAAACTACAAGATTAAAGAGGCAGTGTGGGGAAAGACCACTGTGAGGTGCTTCTGCTGAAGTTAAATAGGGTCTGTTCAGTTATTGGACCATCCTGGTACCTCAATTATAAGTAAATATACTCTTGCACAAATAAGAGATGCCTTTGGATCATTTGGATAGAGTCAAACTCCACTGTTTTTTTGTTTCTTTGATATGCTGCTGTACAGAACCAAACTGCATTTCTGACTATGCATGCGTGCATAAATATGCATGTATAAATATATAAAGATATTTATGATTAAAGTATATATTTGAAATTTAAAAAAATTAAAGATGCAATTTCAAACCAAATGGGTAAATTGTAATACCCATTTCACAACTCTTGACTTCTCAAGTTAGTTAGCCTTCTCAAGTGGGATTTTACAAAGAAACACTTGCCACTTTTACCATTCACTGCACTGATTTTAATCTACTGTGTTGTACATTGATAAGCTTCAAAAGTCGAAGCTTAGAGCTCCTGCAATGGGACTAGTCTCTTTCAACACCACAGTCACATATTCAACACATCAGTCAACTCGTGCCTTGCATCAGGAGTTGTGGCTGTTTTCAGTATTGAGACCCCGCCCTGTCAAAGACAGTTTACTTGTGAAAAAAAAATGGACTCCCTCAAAACGGGTGGCATTTCTCTGAAACTACTGACAGCACGGAAGCTCATGCAAATCATCTCTGATGTTCTAAAGGAAATAGGTTTCTTTTTCCAAATGTAAACACACCAAGTGAAGGCCCGAATGGAGCTGCTGCCAGCAAGAGTAAACATATAAAAATTAACAAACCAGATTACTTTCCACAGTCACTTTATGTCTGGATAGATGTTTTGTTTTCCCTTCAGTTCAGACACAAGCCCAGCAGGGCCTCATCAGTTGACAGGCTGGCAGCTTGTTAACTCTCTCCCCGCCAGAGGGAGCTGGATATCTCCAGGACTGAGTGTGAGAGATATAGGCAGCCTGTATAAATGTCAGCTTTAACTGTGTCTCTTGTACTCATCACTGGGACTTCATATACCAAGTAACGAGTGCAGCAGTGTGTGTTAATGGCATTGTATCGCTGTGTGTATCAGCGTGTATGTATCTGTGTGTCCAAGAAACTGGTGAGGCCACATCGGGGAGTACTATGAACAGTTTTGGTCCCCTTATTTAAGGAAAGATATAATTTCGTTGCAGGTAGTTCAGAGAAGGTTCACTAATATGATGCCTGGTATGGAAGGAACATCTTAGGAGCAAAGGCTAAACAGTTTGACACTCTACTCACTGCAGTTTAGAAGAATGAGAGCTGATCTCATTGAGGCTCTTAAGAATCCTGCATGTTTCAACAGGGTAAATGCTGAGAGGATATTTCCCCTTACGGGAGAGTCTAGGACCAGAAGGCATAGTTTCAGAAAAAAGGGATGCCAATTTAAGACTGAGCTAAGGAGGAATTTCTTCTCTCAGAGCTTTGAGTGTATTTGGAATTCCTTGCCACAGAGAGCTGTGGGGGCAGACTCCTTGTGTATATTTAAGTCTGAGATAACTAGATTCTTGATCAGTTGGGAATCAAGGTTGTGAGGAAACCACAGAAAAGTGGACATGAGGAATGATGGATCAACTATGATCCTACTGAATGGCACAGCAGGCTTGATGGGCTGAAAGGCCTGCTCCTGTTTCTATTTTTTAAATGGTGTGTGTCAGTGTGAGGATTGGTACATTAGTGTAGTGTATCAGTGTGTGTTAGTATATCAGTTTGACTATTAGGGTGGTGTGTCAATGTGTGCAAGTGTGAGTATTGGTATGTATGTGTTAGTTTACTAGTGAGTGCTGGGTGTGTAAGTGGATGTGTTTATTGTTCAGTGTGTTACTCTATAGTGTGTTAGTGTCTGTGTGTGTGTGTGTGTGTGTGTGTGTTAGGGGGTCTATGTATCATATAACACTCACACTCTCACTGACACTCATTAACACTCTGATGTATATTATACATACACACACACTCAACCCGTCTCCAGGATCTTCATCTGGGTGTGGGACTGAGACACTCTATACTTAACGCCCATCCTCTTCAAGCTGTGTGTGTGAATCTGTCTGTGCTCATCGCCTGCACACGCGGTGTATACCGGCTGTGTCTGTGTGTGTGTGTGAGTGTACTTACCGCTGCCTCCCTCTTCCTGCCCAGTACGGTCTGCCTGCGGACTGGGATCCACACATTCCAGACTCTCCGGCACAGAGACATGTCTCTATCCCTTCTCCACTCACTCTTCCTGCGGGATACTTTCAAAGGCACGGATGTTCTTGTTAATATCCGCTGCTCGGCGTGATTTCCTCTGCCTTACTCCTCCTTCCCACCACACCCACCCTCCCTCTCTCTCTCTCTCTCTCTCTCTGTGTCTGCGCTGAATGAGAGAGAGAGAGAGAGAGAGAGCCAAGTGCAGGAAGCCGTCCCTCCAGCACACTCCGAAACAGGCTGATAATTTTGGAGTCAGATTGTGAATTTAACTTACAAATAAAGTGGAGCGACCTCTGCTGCTCCTACTCATTCAAATTCTCTTCCCCCCCCCCCCGTTCTCGCTGCCACTAGGCGGAGAGAGAGCTCCGCCGTGTGTAACACCACACTTACTGCTCAGAATATTGTTCAAATGGACAGAGACTGCAGAAAGCTACTGTCCCGCCTCCACCCCCCCGCCCTTCTGCATGAGACCGCTTTGAATTAGCTTGCAGTTACAGTAAATGGACGGCAATATAAAAGAACCACAGATGCAAAGATCTGAAACAAAAAACAGAAATAGCTGGAGAAACTCAGCAGGTCTGGTAGCATCCATGGAGAGAAAGCACACTTAATGCTTAGAGTCCAGTGACTCTTCCTTAGAACTGGTAGGAGCTAGGACCACACTCTCCTGGTGCAAAAGAAAAATCAAGCAACCTGCCTTAATAACTACACAGTGTGGAGCTGGAGAAACACGGCAGGCCAGGCAGTATCAGAGGAGCAGAAATGTTAACGTTTCAGGTCAGGACCCTTCTTTAGAAACATTCAGAAAATTCAACCTAAAAGTCAACTTCCTTGCTCCTCTGATGCTGCCTGGCCTGCTGTGCTCTTCCAGCTCCACACTGTGTTATCTCTGATTCCAGCATCTGCAGTTCTTACTATCTCTCCCTGCCTTAATGACTGCCACCCGGTGGCTCTGACATCCATCATTATGGAGTGCTTCAAGAGGTTAGTCATGGCCAGGCAGCATCAACTTCAGCCTCCCAGCTAGCCTTGATCCACTACAATTTGCTCACCGTCACAATAGATCCACGGCAGATGCCATCTCCCCAATCCTACACGTCTCTGGAATGTGTGGACAACAAAGACACCTACGTCAGGCTCCTATTAACTGCCTTTAGCTCTGCCTTTAACACCATAATTCCAATCAAACTCATCTCCAAACTCTGAGACCTAGGACTCTGCTCCCCACTGTGCAACTGAATCCTTGACCTCCTTACCCACAATCAGTAAGGATAGGTGACAACACCTCCTCCACAATAATCCTCAACACCGGTGCCCCACAAGGCTGTGTACTCAGCCCCTTACTATATGCCTTATAGACCCATGACTGTGTGACCAAATTCAGCTCTAACTCCATTTACAAATTTGCTGATGACACCACTGTAGTGGGTTGGATCTGAAACAACAATGAGACAGAGTACAGGAAAGAGACAGAGAGCTTAGTGGCATGGTGTAAAGACAACAATTTCTCCCTCAATGTCAGCAAAATAAAGGAGCTGGTTATCGACTTCAGGAAGCAGAATGGAGGACACGCTCCATATATATCGATGGTGCTGAGGTGGAGGTATTCGACAGCTTCAAGCTCCTAGGAGTAAATATCACAAACAAACTGTCCTGGTCCATCCACATCGATGCTACAGTCAAGAAAGCCTCTACTTCCTCAGAAGGCTAAGGAAATTAGCATGTCCACAATGACTCTTAACAATTTCTGTAGATACATCCTAGAAAGCTCCTAGCCAGATGCATCACAGCTTGGTATGGCAACTACTCTGCCCAAGACTACAAGAAATTACAGAGAGTTGTGAACTCAGTCCTGTCCATCATAAAAACTAGCCTTCCTTCTACTGACTCCATCTATATTTCCTGCTGCCTCGGGAAAGCAGCCAACATAATCAAAGACCGTTCCCACCCCAATTATACTCTCTTCAGATACAAAAGTTTGAAAACACGTACCAAGAGATTTAAGAACAACTTCTTCCCCGCTGTTATCAGACTTACGAATGGATGTCTCATATTAGCGTTGATCTTTCTCTGTAGCTATTACCTGATGTACTTATGTAAGGTATGATTTGTCTGGACAGCACACAAAACAATACTTTTCAACTTTTCACTGTATCTTGGTACATGTGACAGTAATAAATCAAATTAAATAGGAAAAGGTGGTATATCACTGGACCTGAAAAATTAACTCTGTTTTCTCTCTATAGATGCTGCCAGACCTGCTGAGTTTCTCCAGCTATTTCTGTTTTTGTTACAGCAAATGGACTGTAGGCTTTTATTGCAAGGGAGTGGAGTATGAAATTGAGAAAGTCAAGCTACAATTTACAGGACATTGCTAAGACTACCTTTAGAGTATTTTATACTATAGGCAAATGTATTTGTACAGAAGAAAAATACTGTTAGCTTCCTTAAAAACTTTGCTCCAAATCTATGAAAAATCAATAACCAATCACTTTTTTATATTAAATCAGCAGGAGCAGCAGTAGGCCACTGAGCCCTTTGATCGAGCTCCAACACTCAACAAGATCATGGCTGATCTGGTTACGGTTTCAACTCCATTTTCTTGTCTGTTGCTCATAATCCTTGACTCCCATGTCTATCAAACATGTATCCAATTCAGCCTTGAATTAATTCATAACAGCCTCCACTGCTTTCCTGAAGAAGATAACTCCACCAACAACCCTTATTAACAAAAAAGAAAATTCTCTTCATTACTGTCTTAAAAGGGAACCCTGTTATTCTTAAACTGTGTCCCCTAGTCCTGGTCTCCCCAACAAAACATCCTCCCATTATCCACCCTATCAAGTCACTTCAGGATCGTATATGTAAATGTAGTATATGACAAGATCACCTATCATTTTTCTAAACACCACTGGGTAAAGGCCCAAATTGTTCAACGCTTCTTCACAAGGTATGCCCTTCATTCCAGGAATGGGAGAGTTCCAGGAATTCCAGGAGTGAACCTTTTCTGAACTGCTTCCAAAGTAATTATATGTTTTTCCAATAAGACCACCAAAAATGTACAATTCTCCATGTGTGATCTCACCAAGGCCCTGTACACCAGCAGCACTTATTTTCATATCTCAGTTCATTGCATGATATCACAAAGTTAGTATGCAGTTACTGCAAGTGACTGTATACATCCCTCTGTGCCTCTGGGTTCTGCAGTCTCTTTCCATGTAAATAATATACTGCATTTCTCTTTTTCCTGCCAAAATGGGCTAGTGTAGGCTTTTCCACATTGTATTCCACATGCTAATTTTTTACCCATTCACTTAATATATCTATATGTCTTTGCAGACTTTCTGCTGCCTTTTACCAACTCAATTTCTTAACTGTATTGGTGTCATCGGCCGATTTTGCCTCTGAAATAAAAGGAGCACATTTACTGTGTGGTATTATCTATTATCAAATCTTAAAATCTTCATTGTGCATGTTTTGCTACACAATACTGTAGTTGTTAATTAAAGATACACTAAATCTTCTGAGCCATATAGACCAGTAGAAACAACAGGCATTATTTAGGAGAGACCACTGAACTACCAACATCTTATATTGCATGGTAATACAGGTTCAACCTTACCTTTGTCCTCTGTCTCCAGGTGCAAAGATTCCAAAAATCTGTTGAAATGTTGTAAATGAAAGACAAATTTTATGCTTGGAACAAATCAAGGCCGATAAGAAACACAGAAATCAAGGAAAACAGATAACATTTTCAATGAAGACCTGGTAAGGGGGAAACCCAGAATGAGCAGGACAATAAAAGCTGAACTCGTGAAATTTCTCCAAAAAAACTTGGAAGATTAATTCACCAATTTGTACCCTTATTAACTCAGGCACCGAAAATAAGGTTTGTTACACAATAAACCCATCAGATAAGGTTTACTCTTCACCAGCTGGCAGCTAATGTCTTCAGTTTCTCCATTACAATCCTTGGATACATCCTGTCCTGTCCCACCAGCAAGTCAGCTCCACCAGGGGTAGTGCCATAGCGGTAAACAGATAGGAAGGATTTGCTCTGGGAGTCCTCAGTGTTGAGCTCAGAGCTCTCCAAGCTGCGTAACATTGGGAGGAATATGGGTAAAGAAATCTCCTGCTGATTACTATCTACCATCCTCCCTCAGTTGATCAGTCAATCAGTCAGTTCCCCTCCATGCTGAACATTACTTGTAGAAGCACTGAAGGTAGTAAGGGCCTATAATATAGACTGGGTGCTCGACTTCAATGACCATCACTGATAACGGCACTGTAGTATCACTATTCGCAGTCTTGAAGGATATGGCTGCCAGATTAGAGGGAAAAAGATCTATGTGACTTTGTCCTCAAGAATTTGCTCACCATAAACAGATACAACTACGACCGTATGTGAAGGAATCTATACTTCTTGTGGGGGACACCAGTCTGACACTTAGAACACTCTCCACCATATTTTGTGTCACTATCATGACGCCAAATGGGATAGATTCAGTTTGGATTTGACAGCTGAAAACTCAGCATCCATGAGGGGCTGTGAGCCATTGGCAGCAGCAAACTCAATCACAATCTGTAAACTCATGGTCTGGCATATTCCCCCAGTCTACCATTCCCATCAAAACAGGCAACCAACCTATTTTAATGAAGAATGTGGAACAATGCTCCAGGAGCACTACGAGGCGTAACTTAAAATAAGGTATCAACCTTATGAGGTTACAAACCATGTATACTAATCAGTGATCATGATCAAGGGATTAAATCCAAGCTCTACAGTTCTGCCACATCCAGTTCTGTATGGCAACGGGGAATTAAACAACATCTTGGAGGAGGAGACTAAACGAATATCCCTATTCTCAATGATGGCAAAGCCCAAGACGTCAGTGCAAAAGAGAAGGCTGAAGAGTGTGCAACCACCTTCAGCAAGAAGTGCTCTGTGGATCATCCACCTCATCTCCTCCTGAGGTTCCTACCCTTACAGATACATGTGTTCAGCTAATTCAATTCATTCCATGTGATAACAAGAAAGCAGTGGACAAAGACAACTATGGGCCCTGACAACATCCTGGAAATAGCACTGAAGACGTGGTCCTAAATAAGCCATGTCTCTGCCTCTGCCAAGCTGTTCCAGTACAGCTACAAAACTGGCATTTGCGCAACAAAGCAGAAATTTGCGTAGATATGTGCTGTCCACAAAAAGCAGTGTAAATCCAACT